GATGCCATCAGGGTTCCTTTGGCCAAGATACTTAGTGTTAATGTTAGTCACCGTATCGGTATGTCTAATCCTAACTAGTAACCCCCTTGTGTGAAGATTATTAACTTCATACAGGCAATGCTTGGAGCAGAGTGCAGTACACAGTGACTACTTATCAAAAGGCAACCATTATTACTGCTTACTACACTTGTACCTAAACACCTATCCCTCCCACCAGCACAGCCTGATACCAGAAAAACCTCATTAGTGACTCATTAGGTCACATAGTAAGCATTAGATAAGGAGAAATGAAGTGTCTTCAAGGTTTCACACATGCCACTGTGAAACTTCCTCAAAATTCCAGCCCCAACTCCAGACAAGAAATCCATAACCTTATGGATTCCATCTCTTTTTTGATAAACAGTACCAAATTTTTATTGATCACACTGCTCCTTTCCCAAGTTCCATGATTAATGGCATATAGTTGGTTATAACTTCATTTATTAGCCAGTCTGGTGGATTGAAGACAAGATTTATCTCTGAAGCATCATCAAAACAACAATAGAGGGACTAGGGCATGAACCCACCGGAAGAGAGATGAGAGCAGTAACATTTCGGCAGCTCAAAGGCAAATGGCATGGCAACTAATTTAGCAAATCTAAGAAAACTTATTCCTACACTGGGAGACATGAGAAACCCCTTGCTTTACATTTCGGAGCCATCAGAGGGTTGAAGAATTAGCAGTACCGGACAGTTTTGGAGTTAAGGGAAAGGGGGAAGCTAAAAAGAGTACTAACTCCAAGTGTAAATAAAAGCCCTTAGACTCAAAGTCTAAGAAATGCAAATCCCACTCTATGGACCCGGACACCTGCACCTGTCCCTTCCGCATGTGGCCAGAGTTTGCAGTTTTTGAAGGCAGAACAGTTTCTGAACAGTTTATTTACGTGGCTACATGTCAATAAAGACGAGAAACTCTCGTGAAGGACTTAGAATTTGAAAGGTGGAAGAACACTGCTGTTTCCAATCACAGATGGAAGCTAGAATGCAGACACTCAAAAACAATATGTCAACTGACAAGTGAAACTTTCTTGAGACACACATTTCTCTCTTATGTTCCTTTTCTATGAGCCCTGGTGATGCAGACGTTAAAGTGCTTGGTAGTTTGAACACCCCAGTTACTCTGTGGAGGATGGTGGCTTTCCGATTCTGTAAAGATTCACAGCCTTGGAAACCCCATGGGGCAGTGAGTGCTACTCCGTCATAGGGTCGCTATGGCAATAGGTTTTATTTCGGTACCCCCAATAAAGTACTTGACAACTATTCAACAAAGTGTGTTTCAACAAAATAAGTAAATGAAGAAATGCCGTGACTAGTCTTTTCACTGTTGTGTGAGCATGTTTGCCATTTTCGCAAAGAACACCTTTTAAAAAGTCAGTACAACATACCACTGGGTAGCCGAAGAGAAGACCACACATCCTGAGCCCCCCAGTCTGGTGTGAGGGGAGGACAGCTGATCACTGGATACGCAGTGTTCCCAGACAGCACTGGTCCCAAACCATTGCTCCTGCCCGCTACCGCCACAAAGACAGTAGGAATGCCATCCCCTATGGAAAGAGAAGTTTCTAATTAGGAGAACATTCAAGAGGTTTTAAAGAAAGATTAATAAAACAAAACAAAAGTTAAAAACAGAAACAGGCCCGTGTGCCTTATTCTTTGAGTTCTTTTAGTAGATCTGAAAAAGCATAAAGAATTATGATCACATATGCGTTTTCTTTTCTTATTTTGAGAGTGAGAGAGAATGAGTCAGTGAATGAGAGTGAGTCAGTGAGTGTGAGAGAGTGAGTCAGTGACAGTGAGTCAGTGAATGAGAGTGAGTGAGCGAGTGAATGAAAGTGAGTGAGAGACCACATATGCATTTAACATATAAAGTCTATTTCCCACTTAAATAAAGTAACAAAGTAACTAGAAAAGGGTTGGCCATCTTTAAGATTCAAAGTATAAATGAGCAGTTGGGCTGTTGGTGAGGGCATGGCTCACAGGTCTGTTTTACTATTGCTGCTTAACTTCACTAAAATTAAGAGTGACACCACCCAAATCAATGGTTTCCCCGCTAGGCTGCCCTTCAACTAGCAGGGCCCCAGGGGACCCGGTATACAAACTTAAGCGCAGTTCTTGAAACAGCAGGTAAAGGCCAACGTGGTAACAGAGTACTGAAATACTTAGGACTTCCCAAGATATTTGCTAAGGCTGTGTTAAGGTGGTGCTGTGGGATAGCATTGGAATGTTAACCATTAAGATTCCTAGTTCGAGCCCACCAGCTGCTCTGTAGGAGAAAAATGAACAGTCTCAGAAACTGTATGTAGGGTTGCTATGGAGTCAGAATCCACTGGATGGCTGTGGGTTTCGGTTTTGAAGATATATTCTATCAATCAATCCTTTGTTTCTTAGAGAAGTGATCCTTGATTTGGAGTCCACAGTTTTAAATATTTGCATTTTTCTGGTTGGAAGAGTTGTAGCTTTCATTCACTTATCAAAGGGGCCTAGGTTCTCCCCACTCACCAAATTAGTAATTACTCTAGAGAGGACATGGAGTACTATTTCCGGTTGAGAAAAGCACATGAATTCCAGTTATTTTTAGATCAGTGCTATTCCATCTGGATATTTATGTACTATATTCTAAGAACTATCCCATCACGTCTGACAGCCTCCCTCCCAGGAGAGGCTCGCCACAAAGACACTCCAGAACCTCCACTACTTCAGCCTCAGGTTTCCTATCAGGGGCACGGGACCTAGTTCTCTGGTCACAATACTCGAGGGTCTCACAAGGTCTCCATTCTCCTTTGACCTCATTGTCAGTTCTTTCTCCCTGCTCCTGTCTCTTCCAAGCTCCTGTCTAGCACTTCACATTTGGAAGGAACCACGAATGACTGGCATGTATCATCATGTTTCTTTTCCTTGGAAATGTGAAAAGGATCCTTTTCCCCCCAGCACTGATTAGTCTAAAACAGTTTTCCCCACTGGAAAATCAGGAACCCTTCTGGAAAGGCTCTAGTTATTTGATGTTTACCTTCATACTCAGCTTTAATCCTCAGAGTTTCATCTGGGCCCTTATGGGCAGATGTTACTCGAAGTTCACATGGGATGCCAAAATTTC